TCTCCTCCATGTACCATCTATACAGCTATTGGCCTTACAAACCAATCTCAACCATTGGTTTCAAGACAATAAGTAATATTCAAGTGTATAACAGCCCAAGATTCTTTATAAACCGCGAACATTTTTATTTATTAAGATGTTAAAGCATGATTCCATTTGTAACCACCACAACTATTACTGGCTTACCAGTAACAGTTGATCACCAGGCTTTAAGGTAAGTTAACTCACATAAGACTTGCCTTATTCTTTTACGCCTCCCCTCTAAAAGGCATTTTAAAAGTTGAGTGCAAATGACATCATGGAGATAATAAATAATAAATAAAATGTAACATAAATATGTGTTATGTACATAGATATAAAGTTAAATTTTTTTATAATTTAGGCACTTTATTATTAGTAACACAAAACAAAGCAGGGATTTGCAGAACCTTTGTTACCTAGGTTCTGGCAGGGCAAATGGCCAGATATGTGAACTTCTGCCAGCGACGTTCTCATCTAGGGAGGAGCGGACCTGGAGAACTCCTCAAGAGTTTATGGATACCATCAAGTGGAAGGTTCCCACTTCTATACACATTCTTATTTTTTTCTGTTTCTTCTGTTTCTCTACGCTGCCCAAGAGATTGAGCTTCACGAGGGCAGGGATTTCTGTTTTTATTTCTTACTCTATCCTCAGCACCCTAAACAGTTCCTGACACATGGTGGGTCCTCATTAATATTTGACTAATTCAAGCTCCTGTGTGCTCCAAGAGCCATCAGTGGCCCTTCTGACATGGTGATATTTGGAGAAGTGGAAACTGTAAATCATCAAATTCTCTAACTCCTAGAGCCCTTGACCAAACCACAGGCAGTGAATAGAATGCTTGTGGGTCCTTGGACAAGGTATGTGAAAAAATATCTTGTAAATAGCAAAGCATTCTTCACATTCATTCTCTTTATCACTCATGATGGTGACTGGTGATCTCTTTGGTTTAAAATTCTATAGATTCCTAATATGACCACTCCTTTTACTAACCCATGAAAATCTCACCTGGTAAAAGCCTACTCAGTCTTAAAGACTCACTCAGAGCCCCTCCTTCATGAATGTTCCCCAGCTTCCCAAACAAATGTTTGCAAAACTGTTATACATCTTGTGACACTTCTTGTCTGCCTTGTACTTAATGGTTTTATGTCCAACTTTCTCCTTAGTAGATATTTAGATCTTATTCTGATTATTTCTACATAAGAAGTACTAATAACAATTTATTTAATTGTGCTAGGAAGTTGCATCTTTTGGGAAAAATCAAGAAAACTTTCATAAGTTCTGAGTAGTTTGAGAAGTAAGCAGGAAATGAGGAAAACTTTTCCAAGCAAAATTTGTAAGAGGATCAAAAATCATAATGGGTGCTAGAAATTTCACTTTCTGGTTGCTAGAGGCCAAGTGTCTTGACAATTCACCTACCTGCTGAAATCTATTTGTGAACTGATAGATGAAGTGAAATTTATGGTGCTGCAATAATGTACAGAAGTTTTAATTCTTTCTTTTATTCGGGATATTTACTCTATATTTACTATGTGCCAAGCTTTGGTATGCAGAGGTAAATAAAACAGTAACAACTAAAGCTTTCAAGAATTATTTGATTTTAGAATAACCAAGGCATAGACGTTTTATGAAAATATCTCAAGAAACCTAGCAAAAAATCCCTCTGTGTAATAATAACCAGCATAAAGGATCATGTTTGTATAACATTTACTTTTTGCTGAACATTACCAATCTTATCTCATTTGGCTCCCTGTGTGTTTAGCACAGCCCTGAACTGAATTGAAATACCTAAATTAATTACTGTTTTTGAAGCAAAGTGTCTAAGACAGGAATTGTAATTAGCAATGTTTTAAAATTTGAATTTCAATGCCTTTGGGCAAGTAAAGCCCAGTTTGCCTCAGGTCCTACCACTCCCTATTATGTTTCGTCCAGCTAGATTCACACGCTTTTATTACCGACCAACCCCTACTAGACATTTGAGCTTTTAGAGAATCATAGCCACAGTGGCTCTGCTTTCAGAGGAGGATGAGTAATCTTTCGGTATAGTTATGGCATCTCTAAACCATATGCAGCATAGATAGATTGTAGCCTTAAGATGTTATTATGATCAATCTAACCTAAGTTCAAATTTAACTTAATTCAAATTGCATCTCAACTCTTTAGTCAATAAACACTGCACTCCCACTTTTTGCAAGTATTTGAATTAGACTAGAGAATCAGTAGAAGGATTCATCTAAGAAAGGGCTCCTGCCCTTAAGGACACTATAACACCAGACAGACAGTTAAAACTTGTACACATGCAAAACAGCAATACGTGGTGTAAAAGGTTTTGCATAAAACTGCAAAAACCCTGGAAGTTGACTGGAGGAAGGGAGACTTCCCAGATGGGTAGAATTTAAACTGAGTCTTTGAAGCGCTGGTGGGATTTGGAGAATTGGAGCTATTATTGAGGACACTGCAGATGGCCCAGAAGCAAAAGTCTCAGAGGTGCAAATATACAGGGTGTGTTGAGGGGGGAAATGAACAGCATAACTTGGCAAGAAATATAGGTTGAGATGAGAATGTCCAGGGCTCAATGCCAGGTAGAGCTACCAATAGAAGACAGTGACAGTCACTCAAAAACTGAGTGCCAATACCATAGGAGTATTTGAAAAATATTAAATCTGCGGGGTTTTTTTTCCCAGTATGAATGAAGGGAGAGTAGAATTGAAGCCCAGCCACTCAATTAGGGACTCATTGTATTCATCCAGCTGTTTGATAAAGCCCCTAATTTAGGGTCAGAAAAAGGAAAAATAGAGAGGAAGGAAAAAAACTTAATAAGATAATTGACAGGACCATTAAAAAAATAATTGACAAAACAATTGATAAGTGATCAGCCATGCAGGAAAGAAAGAGAAGCAATAACTTGACTGTAGTTTTGAGGCAAGACTATCAAGACAGGATTGATGCCATGGGGAGGAGGGAAGGAGGAAACATAAGATCAAGAGCTGACTTTTAGAGGAGAGACAACAAGTTGGGTTTGAGTCATGAAATAATGCAAGGCATTCAAGAAAAATGTAGATGTAGAGTTTGGGACATAATTCAGGGCTAGAGATAAAATAAATTAGTTGTTTCCAAAATGGAGATGTTAGTTGACATTGGGGAATGAATTAATTCTCTGGGTGGGGGGAGAATATAAAAAGAGAGAATAGAAAGAAAAGGTCTGAATTCTGAGGAATGCTCCCCAAATTTGGAGGGCAGGAGTTGGAGAACAGAGAAGGAAGAGAAGAAATGGTCTTCCATCACAGTGTCTCAGACCCATCAGTGTCTGAGTATAAGCTCCTCCATTACAGTGTGTCAGACCCAAGGGAGGAAAATCCCAAGAAGCAGAGGTGGTTGATAATAGATAGGTCTGGAGAATAAGAACTAGGAATCTGCCCCTAGGGGTGTTAGAGAGTACTGAGTTGATTGGTGCTGGATAACCTTTCAGATTCCTTTAGCTATGCTACAATTCTGTGAGTTGTTTTGAAGACTAAGGGAAACACAACCTACAGAAGCCCTGCTGCAGTAGTGCAGGATGTGACAATAGGAGGTCAAGTTCTGGTTGCCTCATTACAGGGTAACCCAAGTATTCAGCAGTTAAGGCATGTGGTATATTTGGACATTCACAACAATCTATGGATCACTGCCCAATGCATTATAAATCAAGTCAACTGAAGCATGACTTGTAATACCATCTCTGAAGAGATTTGCACCATCTCCTTCTCAAATCAACCCCAAACCACCTCCTATATATTATACAGACACTCTATATCTGGTGGTTCACCTGCCATTTCATCAAATCAAATAATTCAACAATTCAACAAGCACTCAATGGGCACCTATGTGTATTGTAAGGCAGTGTGCTACGCACTTGGGATTGAGAGAACCTAAAAGGTGTGGTCCTCACCTATGAGGAGCTCCAGTTTAATGGAAAGGTTCACAGAAAGGAAAAATCCAGGGAGAAGATACCTTGAAGCCATAGACAAGGAAAATCCTGCTGATAGTTAAAGGTCAGGTAATGAAGGTGAATAAACCAGTTCCAAGTGGCAAGAGTGATATGGTTCATCCATTCATGGAATCTTACGCTTGGGAGGGCATGTGGAGAACATGTAGGTCTACTGGCATTTGACTCTCAATACAGCTGTGTAATTACTGCTCACAACAAATATTCTTATTATGCATTTTGTCAATGTATGTCTATCATTCCCTTCCACCAAACCAAAGGATTTCAAGGTTAAAAGACCATATTAACAGGCAATTTCACACAAGCTTCACCACCCCACTTCAACCCTCTCTCACATGAATCCATTGTCATCTCTTTCCTACTATGTGCACATAGATGTCAAGCAATAAATAGCAATAGCTGCAATTTTCTTTCATTTTGCTAACCTTTTTCTCATCATTTTATATAGAACAATAAGCCTTTTAGGAGGCCCCAGATCATGCTTTTGTTAAATAATGGTTGCTTATAGTATGAATTAATGTAATTATAGTTTAGATTTTTTTTTTTAAACAGCTTACTCTTAGAGCATAGCTTGTAAACACAGGCAAGGCTGGAATGTTAATTGCCTGCCAAACAGATGATTACAAATAGATGTCAGATGTGGGAAAACAAATTTTTTAGTTCTATTAACCCTCCAAAAGTTCTAAGCTGAGAGACAAATTTAAGATTAATTTTTTTTCAGTACAAATTTATTTTGTGCAGAACAATATCTCACCTCATAAAACTGCCCAACAAGAATAGTAAGTATAGGTACAAGCAAGAGAAATCCTACTATTTTGGAGACAGGAGGGAATTAGCAAATTTGTGCCCCTGAGCATAGTTTCTGAGGCAGAATTCCCTCTGCCTCCAATGATGTGGATAGAAAGTGTGTCCACACTCACCCCACTGAGACAGCCTCATTATATTCTATAGTGCCAGCTCACTGTACCAGAAAATCTCAGCGCACTCAATACTCACATCAGGACTTGGCACTGCTCCTCAGGCAAAGACGCAAAAGAAAACAAAACAAAGCAAAAATTGTTCTTTGCATCAGATTTCTTCATAAAAGCTAACTAAAGAAACAGTCAAAACAAAACAAAGATTAAAAACAAACAAAAAAACCACTTAGGTTGCTGCCTAGACCGCTGCAACCACAGGGGCTCCAAGCCAGGATTCTTTCTAGTAGGCAGAGGGACCTTCTTCGAGGATGGATAGGAAAAAGTCGTCGGACAGTGGGAATAAGTACATTAAAGGAGAAAACAGATGTCATCTCCTTTAGCTAGCTCAGACTCTGTTTTCTGAGGAACTGATGAAAGCCCAGCCCACTGAGAGGTTTTGGTTTTGCTTTTAGCGCCCGCTCCTCTGCATATAGATACCTTTTGATTGTGTCTCTGGGGAAGTTGGTGACAATTTAGACATAGAAGAAGGGGAGGGAAAGACAAATACTAGCATGTTCCAGCCAGGTACAGAAACTTTACACAGGTAACTTTCTTCGTTTCCTCTGGCTGCTGTAACAAATTGCCACGAATTGGGTGGCTTAAAACAACAGACACTGCTCTCCCAGTTCCCTCAGAGCTCTCGCAGTTCTGGGTGATAGAAATCTGAAATCAAGGTGTGTCACATGGCCTTCTCCTCAGAGGAGAACCTTCTCCTCTGAAGGTTCCAGAGGAGAATGCTTCCTTGCCTTTTCCTAACTCCTGATGGCTGTAAGTCTCAGCATTCCTTGGTTTGTAGCTGCATCACTCTAGTCACTTCCTCCATCTTCACATGACCTTCTTCCATGTGTGTATGTTTAAATGTCCTCTCCTCTTTTTATAAGGACACCAGCCATGAGATTAGCACTCACCCTAACCCAGTTTGATCTTATCTTAAGTAATCACATCCATATTTATAAATAAGATCCCATTCTGAGGCTCCAGGTAGACCCAAATTTGGGGGGAATGCTATTCAACCCACTATATTTATTTCATTTTATTCTTGGAGCAACTCATGGCCTAGATGCTGTTAGACCCATTTGACATATGAAGAAGCAGCCATGATCAAGCAACCTTACCTCAGCTGCACGGCTGAGTTCGAACTCAGGCCTCTGTGGTCCCACCACACAGCGAGGCTTTTCAGTGGTAAGACTAAAACCAGGTGGCAAGAAAAGGCCAACTTGAATATAGGCCTGGATGACCAATCCCATTCTTACGGTCCGAAACCCTTGGGCTCATAGGGGTGGGGTCCGCAGTGATGGGATTCTGATGCTCAAACACAATATGGTTTCTTAGCCACATTTCTCTATTGTTTTCTTGCCTTCTCTCCATGCCTTGCCTCTAAATCACCTCTGCCTAATGGTTCTGTCTTCTGAAAAAGGAGCATTCTCCTTTGTCCTTCTTGTTTTTGTTTTATTCCACCCCTCAAACAAGAAACAATGAAATGGGAGTGGCTGCCTAGATGCCAAGAATGGAGCTCTGTCTGGTCCTTGGTGTGGAAACTTGTTTCTTCACCATGAGCTCCAGGCATGTGGTTTCAGTGGGAGTTGCCTGCTCTAACCTGAATATCCTTTCCCAGCCATGGTGACTGGCTGAGGAATGAGTATACGAGGTGTGATCACAAAATACAGTGAACGTTTAAATAAAAAGAAAATTTATTATAGTAAAAGACACATTGCCATTAAACCCCCTCAAACTACACCTCCCCC